ACAAGTGCAAACAAAGTGACGTAAAAGAGAGCAAATGAGACACGTGTCGGGGCAATGTTTTTGAAACGAAGAGATCCAACGGTGGAGATGTTGCCGCATCTGGCAACTGCAAATGCGAGGGCGGAGATTAAAGCGCTTTAACGTGGCATGTGGAATGGTCCCTCCCTTCCCTCTCAAGCTCTTAGCACATATGCACGTGAAGCTAACCGCCCAGTCACGTGCAGGTTTAATGCGTTTCCACGTGTATTTTCTTTTTTCTTGACGCAAAAAGGTTATGAAAATTATTGTTATAAACAAATAAAATAAAATAAAAAAGAGTTGTAAATGAGAAAGGACATGTGAAATTGGATTCTGGTTGGCTGCCTAGCTGGTTCATAAACATCTTTTTCGATGCCAACCAAAAGAAGGATTAGTAGGGATTGATTTCCAAGAAATACAACCCATTAATTAAACTTTGACTTTACAATTTATATTCATATCCCTTTTTATTAATTTAAGTTATTGATTAAGATATGATACGAGCATATGTTGTTGAGGATTATTAGGAGCAGAGTCCTACTTTGGTTAATTTAGTGGAAGATCATGAGTTTATAAGTGAGCATGAGGCCTTTTGGGGAAGATGCTTAAAGTGGACAATATCATATTACTGTGGAGATTTATGATTTTTAATATGGTATCAGAGTCATGCCCTAAACTTAATTATATCAATAGAATCCTCAAATATCGAATAAAGAATTGTAAGCCTCGAAGGTATATCAAGAAGTGACTAAAGTGTCAAATAAAGTAGGAGAGCGTCCTTTGTTTGAAGGCTCTAGAGAAAAAAGTCCTTTTAAGTTTGCCTTAAAAAAAATTCAAAAAAACCCTTAAATTTTTAAAATAGGTTTTTTTTTAAAAAAAAACTCTTATATTAATATTGGGATTTACCTTTTAAATAAGTTTTAAATATCCTTCCACTTTTAAAAATATTTAAAAATATTTTTATCTTCCTAAAAATATTTAAAAAATACTAAAATTTTTAAAAATTTTATTAATACCTTCTACTTATTTAAAAATTTAAAAAACACCTTTATTTAAAAAATAAAAAAAAAATACTTTTAACCAGTAATATATGAATGATATCGTTTGTATCAAGATTAACCAATATGTTTCAACTTTCATCGTAACATCAACCCCTTTATTCTTTTAGAATCTTTTTTAATAGTTTTTATTGATAGTATTTTTATAATTGAAAAGATTATGAAATATAGATAGACAAGTTTCATTTTCATATATTAATGGTAATACTTTTTTATATATATATATTTTTTTATCGAAATAAAAGGGGTTATTACTGCACTTAAATTTATAATTATTATTTTTTTTAAGTTGAAAAGTATTAATGAAAATTTTTGAATTTCAAGAATAATTTTGAAACACTCCACGTTTGTATATTTCCTAACACAGTATTAAACATTTTTATTCGAAATTAACAGATAAAAGATATTTTTTTGAACATTTTTTTAAAGTTTAATATAATTACTAATTAATTTTTTTTTTTTTTTTTTGTTTAACTTTATGTTCTTTAACTAAAAAAAGATTATTCCCCATACTTTGGACAAGAGAGTATTCTTTTCTGTCTCCTATTTTATTTCTATTTTTGTAAAAATAAATAATTTTTACGGGAATTGAGTTCTAGACAATAAAAATACAATATAGTAGAAATTGTAGAAATATATTTAATATATAAGAAATGAAGCAAGAGAGATGGGAATTTGAGCCACGTATGAGTCCTTCTATAACTTAGTTGCCTAAAAATTGGTCACACGTGGTTACTTGTGTTGTCAACAACAAACTCGTACCCACAACCCACTCAATTACACCAAAATATTTATTATAATCATCATCAAATAACGTCTAGTCTATTCTCACATGTAATATAAAATCAATTTTAGCAAAATACGTTAACTGTGAAATTTCTATAATCGAACTATCTAAAAAAAAGTGCAGCTTGTTGGTATAAATAATAACTTTAAATTCTTTTAAGCATTTCTTAATTAACTTATTTTTAAAATTGCTCCCATTCAAACTCTCAGGTATGATTTTAAATATAGAGGATGGAAAAAGAGATATCCTAGCGGTGATGAGGTGGACAGCTGAGGTGGCAACCCAGTAGAATGGCGAAACGTGGCGAAACAAAATTCAAACGGACAAATCATCACAATTTGACACGTTTCCCACCTTCTCTCTCCTTCATGGCTCATTGAAAGGCAACCTATTCCTGTTTTAATACTATTTTTCGGCTTCAAATCTCACTTTTTTTAACGTCTTTGTTCATTTCTTCAGTAAAATTTTGGAGGGTTGATTTTGTCAATTTAGAGGTAATTTTTATTTACCGTTTATTTTGTCTAACAAATATTTAACCTTTACCAAATTTCGGTAATATATATCTCTATCATATCTCTACCAAATATCTTCCAAATATATCTCGACAGCCTCCATATTTCAATAATTTCCCACTTGGAGACTAATACAGTCAATCAACAATTTCATTCTAAATCTGTACCATACCAATTGAGGCTGTGCACAACCTCAATGTTACAACATCAACACAAAACGTTTGCTGGATTCCTTGCACCCTTTATCTTCTCCAAACACAACATCATCTTCAACTAACTTCCGAGTGAAATAGTATCGCCTTCTGAGTTTTGAATGATAGATCGGGTTCCTCGCCAACTGTATGACACTTTAACTATCGACCTGAAGAATCTTCTCGCGCTGCTTCTTGCCTAATTCTTCTAGATAGTCTGTCATCCATATCATTTTCTTTTCAGCTTCAGCTAATGCCACGTACTCAGCTTCAGCAGAGGAAAGATCAACGCATTTCTGAAGCCTAGACATCCCATCATCCATGGCTTGCTCCCACTTAGTGGTATCCTCCAACTGTAGGGCCTCATCAAGGGGCTTTTGTTTTCCTTCATCGGTCACGAACCAATAGTGTAAAGAAAGTACATACCTATCTGGTAATCTGATGGCTTTAGATGATCTTTTCAACACCTGCTCAGGTGTCACTTGCTCCTCTTTCGGTTCTTCAGCAACAGACTCAAGAATTTCTTGAGAATCTGCTACAACATCACTATGTGAATCTTTTAACAACTCAACCTCAACTCCCACTTGCTTCACCTCTGGTTTCTTAGCAACAGTCTCAAGAGTTTCTTGAGTATTTGCTACAACATCACTATGTGAATCTTTTAGCAACTCAACCTCAACTTCCACTTGCTTCGTTGTCCCGGTACTTTTTTTCAATTTTCTGGTAGTCTTTGTGAAGCTAACAGTTTTCTGTTTGCTCATAACGCAGTTCACACAAGGACTCATATCAACAGATTTCAGACGTTCCAAAACTCCTTTCGACATCTTCATTCCTTTAACGCTCATATGTCCAAGTCTATTGTGCCATATACTTGAATTTGAAGCACTCTTAGCAATAACAGTCATATACATACACCTTGTAGTGGTGTATAAAGTTCCAGATTTTGTGCCACATGCAATCACCATAGCACCTTTCACAATCTTCAACGAACTCTTACCAAACTTTGTTGCATAACTTGTGCTATCCAACTGATCAATAGAGATCGGGTTCTTCTTGAGACCAGGAATACATCTGACATCCTTAATGTCCACTGATTTCTTGCCGGAGTTTTTATGCAGATATCCTTTTTCCTTCAATTTTCAAATCTTTGTTATCACCAAGATACACCTTCTCGAAACTTCCAGACTTGAAATTTCGAAACAACTCCTTATTTGGAGACGAATGAAAAGATGCACCTGAATCCAAAATCCAAGATTCAATCGGACTGTCCATGCTGAGGATTAGAGCATCCCCATTGTCTTCTACTGAATGTATCGAATCATCGTCATTCTCTGATTTGTGATTCTGCTTCCTCTTTGTACAATCTGCCCGAAAGTGATCTTTTTCTCCACAACTCCAACACTTTACATTTGGTTTGTTTGGAGATTTTTCTCGGTTCCTTGATTTTGATCGCCCATTGTTTGGGCCCTTTGATTTACTTCTTCCCCGTTGGTCAACACTGAGAGCACTGCTAGATGAATTTCTAATTTCTCGTTTGTGAATACTTTTGCTGAGAACTACATCTCGAATTTCATAAAACTTCAGTTTATCAGATCCTCGAGAACTGCTGATTGCGACAACAATAGTATCCCATGACTCAGGTAAAGATGACATCAAAATCAACACTTTAATTTCATCCTCGAAATTAATTTCCACCGAACTCAGTTGACTTAAGATCATATTGAATTCATTTATATGGTCCATAACAGATCCACCTTCAGACATTTGTAGATTGAATAATCTCCGCATCAAATACACCTTGTTCATAGATGACGGTTTCTCGTACATACTCGACAGTGCCTTCAACAAATTTGACGTTGTCTTTTCCTTGATAATATTGAACGCCACGTTTTTGGACAGCGTCAACCGGATCAACCCTAAGGCCTGACGATCCTTGAGCTTCCACTGCTCCGTGGTCATAGTATTCGGCTTCACCCCCAACAGGGGCTCGTGAAGACATTTCTGGTACAGACAATCTTCAATCTGCATCTTCCAGAAACTAAAATCGGATCCATCAAACTTTTCAATTCCAATCTTTGAAATTTCTATCTTCGCGGATCGTGGTAAATTTCGCCTCGCTCTGATACCATTGTTAGGATCGCTTAACATCGCACACTCAAGATGAACACAAAAAATAGGAAAGAGGAAATACAAGTAGAAATATTGGCTAAAGGTTTTTAGTACATTTTGAGAGTAGTGACTAATTTGGTATATATATGATTTCAGTTTACTAAATATAGCTTCCAAAGATTTAAACCTACTATATATAATCTAACAAATATATCTCTATTATATATTTTCGAAATATCTCTCAAATATAGGCATCAGGCTCCATATCCCAACACGGTCATGAACAATACATCATAGACAAGCATGACCGAAACATCCAACATGCAGCCACATACAACACGCCTTGGATAAGTAATACCGTATCACTTCACACACAAAATCCACAAATTTGCAGTCAATGTACACATGACGGTATAATATCAAATTTTACATTGCAACTATATCAACTATGCAAAAAAAAAATCCAATCCTCACAACATATATTCTGATAATTACTTAACTCTGAATCTGGCTATTAAGTGCAGACCATCACTTGACTTTAATATCATCCCTTGGTTGGGAGGAAAGAGTTTTTGAGGTGGGTGACTTTCCAATGATGGCTTTCCTTGCCTTCACCAATGAGTGTTTTAGTTTGGATAAGAGATTGTGCGAGTGCTTCTGAGTGGGGTTTGATCCCTTTGTGCTCACAATTTGTTCATCTTTTACTTGCAACTCAGATACATTGGCAGCTCCAAGCCCTGCTACTTGGGGTTCTTCTATCTTGGTTTCTGCTATCAGATCAACTAATGACTTCCCTGCTACCACAGGCTGAGTTTCATAAGTGTCTTCTGCTATGACTTTAAGTGGAGTTTCAGCAGATTCTGCTACAACACAACTTGGCTCTTTCTCTGCGCTTACAAACTCTGTACTAGGCTCTATCACTTCTCTTGATTCTGCCCTTGCCTGTTCCTTTTCCTTGGGAGCTTCTGTGGGTATGCTAATTTCTTTTGCTATCACTTCTTCCAATTCTTTGTCAACTGCCTGCTCCTTTTGTGTTGAAGCTTCAGCTGTTCCAATCATTTCTTCCATTGGAAGAACCTCAATCGCTTCAGCTTCTTTGTTTTGTGGTTCAACAGGTTGTTCTGGAACATTATTCTCTGCTTCCTTGTCTGCCTCTGTCTCTTCCTCCTCTGCATCTGCTGGACCCTTGCCACACTCTGCCATTACTGATGATTCGTCTTGTGCTTTTGGAACGAGGCTCACAATCTCTGACGCTTGTTCTTCTACATTTTGTAGAACCTCCAGACTCTCTTTTTGTATGACTTCTCCTTCAGCTGCATCATACTCCTCCTTTATACCCTGTTCCATGAACGCAATAACTGGCAGCTCTGGTGCTTCTCCTACAATGGGTTCATTCGATGGCCTCTCAGGAATAGGAGGCTCATCCACTGCCTTTGCTTCGGATGTGGGCAAGTTTTCACCTTTTCCTGTCTCTTCTATTTGTTCTGTTACTTTTACTGCTTCACTAAACTTCTTGGTTTGCTACAGTACAGTAATAATTAACTATAAGAATCCATTAAATTTTGGTGAAGGAATTGACAGATTGAAACAAACATAACTCTGCTATAATCTATCAAGATGTTGGTAATGATCTCTTACCCAGATGAAGTAAATATTAGGGAATTGATGCAGTCTGTATTACATGCAAAGTATCAAACATATCACAGAGAAGGGTGTTTAAAGTTAAAAATAGAAGAAACTAAGAAGTGGGTGTTGATCAAGAATCTAAGAACATGAACAAACGATCTTCACATCCATTAATGATTAAGGAAAAACTCACCTCATCGGATGTAGAAGTTTGGGTTTGGGTAGCCATAATGATTGTGGAGTGAAGAACAAAACGGCAGTTGTCGGAGTGTTAAGGATGGAGATTGAAAGAAGATGAAGAAATGAAGGAAAGGAATGATGCGGTTGGGAAGAACTCAGAAAACTCAACCAAGTTAGTAGAAGAGTAAAGAGAAGAAGCAGCCAAAACCAGTCTGTCACTGACACACTTTTGTCACATGATCTTGCCTGGAATTATTGATGAGGATGAGGATGATGATGATGATATACCATTCCTTTTAGTTCTCCTTTATTTATCATAAACAAAAACAGAATCAAACAGGGTGGAGAGAAAAGCAACTGGGTCTACAGCTTCTGTATTGTTTTTCATGATTACAATTGTTTGGCCTTTTCGTTAAGTGATTTTCATATTCATAAGTGCTTATATGTCACTTCCAACTCGAGCTAAACCCTCCGGTCTCCTCCAGATCATGGTAGACTTTATGGAGCTGAATTAAGACAAGCAAGACCCTCAACTATGGCCTGGATACTAAAATCTAGTGGGTTTGGGCCATTTGTGCTGTTGGGCCAGGCTTGAATGTCTGGTGAGCTTGGAGTAGGTTCGATACAAACATGGGTTTGATTCAACCCAAATTTCACATTTGTGTGTTATGACCGTCAAAATTGGAGAGCAGTAGTCCTGATCTGAAGATTCTATGCCGAGAACAGCAGTGGGTTTTGTGAATCTTGTTGACCCAAGTGGCCGAAGAATCGCAAGTGATTTCCGTTCCTTTTAAATTCTCTTCTTAATCGGACCAACAATCTCTGGTTGAACCTCGTAGTGATTAATGTAGGAGTACGAGTTATGAGTTGTAAACTACTTCCCCTTCCAACCTCTCTGAACAGCCTTATCAATTCTGGGCGGACCCTGAAACATGCCACTCAAATTCATTCCCATCTCATCACCACTGCCTTCCTTTCCCTCCCTTTCCTCTTCAACAACCTCCTCAACTTGTACGCCAAATCTGGTTCTTTCGACCACACCTTGTTGCTCTTCTCCTCAACCCCACATGACTCTAAGAACGTTGTCTCTTGGACTTCTCTTATCACCCAATTTTCCCGTTCTAAAAGACCCTTTCACGCCTTGACTTTCTTTAACCGTATGAGGTGTTCTGGGGTTTTTCCCAATCACTACACCTTCTCCGCTGTCTTATCTGCTTCCACTGACACTATGGCTTCTGTTCATGGGGATCAGATGCATTCTTTGATTTGGAAACACGGGTTCCATGCTGACGTCTTTGTTGCCAGTGCGTTAGTTGACATGTATGCCAAGTGTTGTGATATGTGCAGGGCCGAGAAGGTGTTCGAGGAAATGCCCCTGAGAAACCTAGTGTCTTGGAACTCTATGATTGTGGGATTCCTGCAGAACAAGCTATATGATCGGGCCATTCTCTTCTTTAAGACGCTTCTACTAGAGAATCTAACTGCTGTTGATGAGGTAAGCTTTTCTAGCGCTTTGAGTGCTTGTGCCAATGTTGGTAACTGGGAGTTTGGGAAACAAGTTCATGGAGTTGCTCTCAAGCTTGGTGTCAGGAATTTGGTTTATGTAAATAACTCGCTGATTGACATGTATAGTAAGTGTGGCTTGTTTGACGATGTTGTGAAGTTGTTTTCAAACATTGGAGCTAGAGATGTTGTTACTTGGAACATTATGATCATGGCATGCGTTTATAATAACAATTATGAAGATGCCTGCAATAATTTTTGGATGATGAGGAGGGAAGGTTTAATACCTGATGAAGCGTCATACTCCTCTGTTCTTCATTCTTGTGCAAATCTTGCAGCATTATATCAGGGAGCACTCATCCATAATCAGATCATAAAATCTGGATTCGTGAAGAATTTGTGTGTTGCAAGCTCTTTGGTCACGATGTATGCAAAGTGCGGCAGCTTGGTAGATGCTTTTCAGACATTTGAAGAGACTGTGGACCGTAATGTGGTTTGTTGGACAGCCATAATTGCAGCTTGTCAACAACACGGTCATGCTAACCAGGTTGTTGAGTTATTCGAGCAAATGTTGAGAGAGGGGATTAAACCTGACTATATTACTTTTGTTTCTGTTCTCTCTGCTTGCAGCCACACTGGCCGGATCGAAGAAGGATTCTTCTACTTTAATTCAATGATAAAAGTGCATGGAATTTGCCCTGGATATGAGCATTATGCGTGTATAGTCGACTTGCTTGGTCGTGCTGGGCAGTTGGATAGAGCTAAGAGGTTTATAGAACTGATGCCTATCAAACCAGACGCCTCTGTATGGGGTGCTCTGCTTAGTGCTTGCAGGAATCATAGCAACCTTGAAATGGGTAAGGAAGTGGCTCTGGAACTTTTTGAATTGGAACCAGATAATCCTGGAAATTATGTGCTGCTTTGTAACATCTTGACACGTAATGGGATGTTACGCGAGGCCGACGTGGTTAGAAGAAAGATGGAAGCCATTGGAGTGAGGAAGGAACCAGGATGTAGCTGGATTGACATAAAGAATTCAACATATGTGTTCACAGTGCATGATAAGTCACATGAGAAAACGCAGGAGATTTACGAGATGTTGGAGAAGGTGAAGGAGTTGGTAAAGAAGAAAGGGTATGTGGCTGAAACTGAATTTGCAATAAACATGGCAGAAGCATACAAGGAGCAGAGTTTGTGGTACCATAGCGAGAAACTAGCCCTTGCACTTGGGCTGCTGAGCCTTCCCGCCGGGGCTCCAATTAGGATAAAAAAGAACTTAAGAACCTGTGGAGACTGTCATACCGTAATGAAGTTTGCATCAGAAGTTTTTGGGCGAGAGATTATAGTAAGAGACATAAGCAGATTTCATCATTTCACCAATGGCATTTGTTCTTGTGGAGATTACTGGTGATTGATTGGAGGTTGATGATCCGGTGGATAACACCCTTAGGAGCCCATTGAGCTAAAACTAGCTCATGAAACACCAGTACAACAAATATAACTTTTGAAGTACGGTCTAGAGTTGCAAGATTAATTTAGTTAGAGTTGGTAATATGGATCATCAAGTTTTTGTTCATCTTGATTTGTTCTCCTATTCATCATTGTTACGTTTCTATTGAGGCAACTGTGATTTATCTGATATCATAATGCTTGCAGTGTGAATCCAGGGATACAAATTGGACACTGTTGAATATTCAAATGTATTCCCATCAGAAATTCACTGCAGCAACGCAATTTGAACACAATGGGGAGCTAACTTTCAACATTTGATTAGGTATTATACCTTCCACCTTCAATACTACACCTTCATGTAGACTAAGTCATGAAACATTGAGTTTGTCCCTTAATCTACAAGTCATCAAAGATTATCATCAACTGTAAGAGCTCACATAGCCCTTGTGTAATAGCTTGAAACTCCAATTCAACAAATGGTGTAGCCCCCACATTTTACACTTGTTATTTTTTATTTTTAATTATTTTTTGCTTCTCTGTATCACTAAATTACCTCTAAGATAAGTATATACCTTGTCGTAGATCTTTATCTACTATTAATCCAACATAGTCAATGTCCGTGTAAGCTTCCAATGCACGGGGATTGTTTTTGTTTAAATAAGGCTCCTTTTCCTGAAGTCTCTTGCAAGTAATGTAATACTCTATATGTTGCTTGAAGATGAGGCTCTCGTCGGTGATGCATAAATTGACTAATTATACTTATGGAGTATGCTATGTCATGTCGAATGTGAGTTAGATATACAAGTCTCCCCACTAGCCTCTAGTAAAACTCTCTGTTCATTGTAAGGAAGTTCTTTTGACACTCCCAATTTTTGATGTGGATCCATTTCCATTGATGCAATCTTACATCTGCTTTTTCTTATTTCCATTCATAAATTTGTCACTTATTTCCATTGTGATATGAATATTAAGAGAGGCAAATGTCTCCTTGTAGCTATGTCGTTAATTTTGAGTAGATCCCTTAGCTACTAACCTTACATTAAGAGAGGCAAGGTTATCCAGTGTGTCTAAAGGGAGGCTTTAGAGAAGAACAGTAAACCACTTGGTCGGAGCATGTCGCATCAATTGAGATGTAAGACGTCTTAACATTTGTACCCGTTTATGGTAGAAGAATATCCTTAAGAGACACATTTTATTTTTCTGGTACCAAGATTGTCCCTTTGAGTGTTGTTCAAGGCGATGCACCAGAACATGGGGGTGTGAGGTCATTTGATATTGGAAAGATGCACCAATACCATCTTTTACTTCGACGACCTTCTTTCCTTGTTTCTTGACTTCCTCAGTACCCAATTTTCAATCATTGGGTTCTTGACTTCTTCTTGACTGCACACCAACACCTGTCACAGAACAAGAATAGCATGCTCTTTCACACGCAGAGAGGTGTAATAATGAAAACTAAGAAGCGCCTGAAGAAACTTAAGTTGTAAAGTGGAGTGAATGGAGAGTCAGAAATGGAATGTTGTAACTAATACTCACCTAATTGGGTGTACAAGTTTGATGGGAATCAATAACTTGTGTAAATGGAAATGCCCAAAAGAGGAAGAAAAGATGATGTTTGGTGGTACTTTAGTGTTGATGTAAAGCAAGAAAAGGAAAGAAAAGATAGAGAAAAGTAGCGTATTATTTTTCATGCTTGTAATTGTTTTGGGCTTTTCTGTCATATTCATAACTGCGTCTTATGTTTGAGCTGCCATTCAATTAATTAGATCAGATTGGAGCCATCCGCCATTTGGACATTTAGATCAGATGACTTGGACATTGCTCATTCATTAAGGCTTCCAAACAACGCTTTATTTTTTGTACTTTCTATTTGTTGTTGCATGCTTTTCGTTGATACTTGATGGGAAAAATGTTAAAACTTTTTTCGTATGATTTGAGAAACTTGGTTTGTGTTAAGAAGCTTTCAACTCAAACGAGAAAGATAAGCAGGACCCTCAACTATGGCCTGCATGCTTTCTGGTCTTGTTGGGCCTCACCTGTTTTCCAATCAACTAAAGGCCTTTATCTCCAAATCTATATTGCAAATGCGCAACTAAAAAGCTTTAAAGACCACCCCAACTTTTCAAAACATCACAGCAGAGCGGATCGGATCGGATCGGATCAGAAGTTAAGTGTTAACTAACACCTCTTGCTGCAACATGAAGGTAAAGGGTCAGCTCTTACAAATGGCAACTGGTGAAGTGATGGGTGGTGAGACACAAGAATGATAGAGATTAATGCTTAACAAGAATAATAAGGTGCGCTATTTCAACCATGTAGCTTCCAAATATTATATAATTCATTGGGTTAATTGCCTTTAGACTTTAGACTTTTGACGGTGGGTTAAATGCCTTTTTAGGACTTACTATGTAGTCTTCTTATCAATGTCACTTCTATGCAACTTGTCATTTTTTTTTCATCTTTATGAATGTTTATATGGAAAAGTAGCAAAATCCCAAACGGAACTACACCAAGCTTTTATAAACTTCAAATAATAAATTCTCTTAATACATTTAAATAGTTATGGAAAACTATATGGATTGTAACATCCCGATTTTTTAGAATCCTAGACGGTCATAAGCTCATGCCATTATAAAGTGGAAGAACGAAGATGTAACACTTAAAAAAAATGATCAAAGTCAACAGAGGAGCAAATAAGTCATTTTACCTCTCCAGCCACTATAGGGATTCGAGTCGAGCCCTAGCAAATGGCCTGCAAGAGAGAAAAGAGAGAGAGAGAGTTGAGAGAACCTAAAGAGGGGAGGAAGAAAGAACGGTTGGAAGTTGGCCACAATCTAGTTGCAAGGACTTCTTGGAAGGAAGAAGATTTGGGTGACTGGAGTCTCATTTTTTTGTTAAGAATGGAGAAGATTTGCGAGGAAATCTTTCACCGTTTTCCCTCATATTTGAGCCGTTACTTACAAATTAAGTCCTAAGATTTTGATATGTTTGTTTAGGAAGGATTCTACACAGATTTCATAAAGGAACTTGGCGAAAATCTTGATCGAAAACTGCTGTCCCGAGAGATTTTTCAAGAACGGTAAGAAAGGGGTAACATACTAACTTCCGACGTCCATAAATCAATTCGTGTTAAAGTAAAATTTCAAAAAGACGCAGCTCCATTTGACCGATGAATGCGACTACTTCTCCAACCCGCACCCACGTCCGACCCAAAAGATGCTCCGACCTGATCTGCGTGTGCCACACGTCAATGTAAGGAAATTTGGGTTCACAGTGCTTGCCTTCGGATTTAAATCCACGCACTTGTCATCGACTGACCAACTCGAGCACGCCATGTGGCATAATCAAAACTCGCGATCTCCATCTAAGGTGCGTCTGCACATGCACATGGAATGTCTCTCCAGCGTGTGGTAGCATGTGGCTGGCGTGTGAGGGTCAGTTTTTTGTATGTTCGATCTCCATTTACTCGATTTTTACCTTGATTCCAATTCTAACCTTATTTTTATGTGATTTAGGACCTAATTGAAGAAAATCTCTCTTTTTAGGCTCCCAATTCGTGTGGAAACATTTAATGAAAGGGCACGCCACGTGGCATAATCAAAACTCGCAACCTCCATCTAAGGTGCGTTTGCACATGCACGTGGAATGTCTCTCTAGCCTGTGGTAGCTTCTGTTCGATCTCCATTTGCTCGATTTTTATCTCGATTCCAATTCTAACCTTATTTTTATGTGATTTAGGACCTAATGGAAGAAAATCTCTCTTTTTAGACTCCCAATTCGTGTGGAAACATTTAACGAAAGATCACACATCAATCAAGTAAATCACCATATGGACTTTAGGAATAAATATTTATAGGAATCGCTTGGTTTGCATGCATGCTAAAATATTTACCCTAGGTATATAGTTTTTCCTATGAATTGAACTTAGATGATTAGTATATTAAGAGTATGGAAGCACGTTGTGTAGACTATTAATATGCCTTATGTTTTCGCTATATAAATGTTTATTTCATTTTGAAAGGAGGATGGAGAATTTGTGATCTGCGCTCTGGGTGCTTGACGGATGTTATCGCTTCGTTGATCATCTATGTTTATTTTGCATGAAATGATATTTGATGACTCTAGATGAATGTTTTGCACTTTTCATGTATTTAATGAACCAATTCATGTTAAGACTAGGAACTTGTGGTTAGGTTGACTAGTCACTAAATTTAGACCTAACCTTTTTGAGTCTAATAGACCACCAAAACTTACGAGCCATCTTAAGAGTTGTCCTTATGCTATAAGATGTGTGAACAATGTCAACAGCTTTGTGGGAGAACAAGAGTTTCTGATCAAAACCTGATTGAACTTAGCTGTTTTGCATGGAAAATGAGAGACCCACGTCGTACAATCCATTAGCTTAATGGGATAAGGGAGGGGTCGTGCCTCCCAATGAGGGTGACTTTATGAACTTGGGAGGTTACAGCGAGGTAGCGCCTCATAGGTCATCAGTCATTCACACCTTGAGATAAGGAAATCTCAGGGTTTAAAATGAATGAATGGAGACCAGAATAGCCCAAGGGGGATAAGACCAGATTTAGACGTCCTAGAGCTAGTGAGAATCTGTTATTCCTAGAAGGTAATGAGGGCCTACAAGTAGGTGGCTTACTAAGTATAACTTTTATACTCATCCCTGTTTCCTTCCATTTCAGGTGTTCGCAGACTGTCGGTCGAGGTGGAGGAGTGTTTGAGAGCTGTGCCGTCATAAAGGGGGTCGTTTCAAAGTGTCAGTCCATTTTTACATTTTGGAGTTTTTTGTATTTCCTTTTATATTATATCGCCCAATTTGAGCATAAGTTATCTTGACTCTGTGTTTGGTTCCTCAAAAGATCTCATAACAATATAAATAGTGTCTCTCACATATATACCCATGATATTCTCTTTAACTAGTCAATTTGTGGAACTCCAACAATTCTTAACTCTAATACCCACTGGGTAAATAAATAAAAAAAAAAAATGAAGAGGGAAGACGACCGTACACTGCTGCCGATGGTGCTCAAACGCCATTGATAGCGAAAGGACTGCTTAGCCACCAATTTTCGAGGCCACTTGAGACCAGAAAATAAGAGAAGAATTTAAGGAGGCGTTGGGTGAAGTGGAATCACATTAATCCTCAGGGATCCACCCGCTTGAAATATTCGTTACAAACCCACTTTCGCCTGAAACCTTGCACTTGAAACCTGTGAGCGTCTACCAAGCCTTGAAGCTTGAGGTATGAGAGTTGTGAAAGACAAAGTGTCACGACCCAGTATTTACTACGAGTCGTGACTCAAAAGGAGAATAATGTGTAGTGCGTATGCATGAAATTCAAAGGAAAACATCATTTCGAAAATCAATCATATATTTCATAAGAAGGGCGTTTTGACAATGGAAG